ACACTGCTGGTGTGTTCCATTTTGTCATAGGGTGCTGGCAGATTACGGGCCTCCCATTGCTGCTGCCAGGCCCGTAATCTGCCATGGGCCCCCGTACCGCCTCTCAGCTGCTGCCAGGTCCAGAGTGTCTCATGGGTCCCTGTACGGCCTCCCATTGCTGCTGTCTCCATCGCCACACTCTGCCATGTGCCACTTTCAGGTCTCCTCACACTGCTGGTGTGTTCCATTTTGTCATAGGGTGCTGGCAGATTTCGGGCCTCCCATTGCTGCTGCCAGGCCCGTAATCTGCCATGGGCCCAGTACCGCCTCCTCATGCTGCTGCCAGGTCCAGAGTCTCTCATGGGTCCCTGTACGGCCTCCCATTGCTGCTGTCTCCATCGCCACACTCTGCCATGTGCCACTTTCAGGTCTCCTCACACTGCTGGTGTGTTCCATTTTGTCATAGGGTGCTGGCAGATTACGGGCCTCCCATTGCTGCTGCCAGGCCTGTAATCTGCCATGGGCCCCTGTACCGCCTCCTCATGCTGCTGCCAGGTCCACAGTGTCTCATGGGTCCTGTACGGGCCTCCCATTGCTGCTGTCTCCATCGCCACACTCTGCCATGTGCCACTTTCAGGTCTCCTCACACTGCTGGGGTGTGTTCCATTTTGTCATAGGGTGCTGGCAGATTACCGGCCTCCCATTGCTGCTGCCAGGCCCGTAATCTGCCATTGGCCCCCATACCGCCTCCTCATGCTGCTGCCAGGTCCAGAGTCTCTCATGGGTCCCTGTACGGCCTCCCATTGCTGCTGTCTCATCGCCACACTCTGCCATGTGCCACCCGTACCGACTCCTCATCTGTGACGTTGCAACAAGGTGGAATTCAACCCTACATATGTTAGACCACCTTTTACGAACAGCGAAAGGCCATCACCGATTTCCATGATGTTACAAGCGGATAAAGGTACTCCCCTGTGTAACTTAGATGTCAGCCATTGGCAGCTCATGCGTGACACCTGCCGCTTGCTCAGGCCCTTTGAGGAGGCCACGCTATTCGTGAGTCGGCAGGACTATGGGATGAACGACGTCATTCCTCTGTTGCACGTCCTGGAACAAATGCTGTTAACAATGGCTGGTCAGGGTGCGGTAGACGTGGCGCACAGATCTCAACGCACACATGACCCCTGTGGAGGCAGGACAGGTAGAAGAGGAGGAGGACATTGGTGCTCAGGAATTATTGAGTGAAATGGGTGGTTTTTCCACTCAGCGGACAGGAGTGGAGGAGCAGGAGCATCTGGTAGAGGAGGAGGAGGAGGAGACAGAGGACCCAGACGCACCGTGGCAGTATGCTGTGGAGATGGAGGCAGGGAGTCCCTCGCATTCCTTGGCACAAATGGCCCATAGCATGCTTGGTTGCTTGCGTAGCGACAGCCGAATAATAACCATCAGACAGAGGGATGACTTTTGGCTGTCCACCTTGTTGGACCCTCACTACCGTTCAAAAATGGTGGCCTTTTTCACACCTGCTGAGAGGGAGGCCAAAATAAAGTACTATAAAAACCACCTATGTAGTCAGTTGGTCTCTGCCTTTCTGCGCCAACGTCCATCCTCAGACACTGTGGGCCCTGTGCGCTCGCGTTCCACTGCCATGGCAGCTGGGGAGGGGAGGGGTGGTGGTAGGAGCAGTGGCAGCTCCACCAGCAGCGGCTGCCTCAGTCTGCAGTCGATGATGAGTAGCTTTCTTCACCAGCGCAGTGAGGAAACTACTAACCAGCTGCAGCAGCAGCAGCATCAGGTGGACCTGGAGCAGGACCTCAAACAACAGGCTTGGGCCTACTTGGACAGCACCCTGCCAACCGAGGTAGACAATCCCCTTGACTACTGGGCAACAAAACTTGACCTTTGGCCCCAACTAGCTGAATTTGCCCTTGAAAGGCTGTCATGCCGGCCAGTAGCGTGGCATCGGAGCGCGTGTTTAGTGCGGCAGGAGGTACTGTAACTCCGCGGAGGACACGACTGTCCACCCAAAGTGTGGAGAGACTCACGTTTGTGAAAATGAATCAGGCGTGGATTAGTCTGGATTTCAAACCACAAGTTCCTGACACAACTGACTAAATCCGCCATGAATCATGCCCCAAACATGTGCCACTTTCAGGTCTCCTCACACTGCTGGTGGGTTCCATTTTCATAGGGTGCTGGCAGATTACGGGCCTCCCATTGCTGCTGCCAGGCCCGTAATCTGCCATGGGCCCCTGTACCGCCTCCTCATGCTGCTGCCAGGCCCGTAATCTGTCATGGGTCCCTGTACGGCCTCCCATTGCTGCTGTCTCCATCGCCACACTCTGCCATGTGCCACTTTCAGGTCTCCTCACACTGCTGGTGTGTTCCATTTTGTCATAGGTGCTGGCAGATTACGGGCCTCCCATTGCTGCTGCCAGGCCTGTAATCTGCCATGGGCCCCTGTACCGCCTCCTCATGCTGCTGCCAGGTACAGAGTGTGTCATGGGTCCCTGTACGGCCTCCCATTGCTGCTGTCTCCATCGCCACACTCTGCCATGTGCCACTTTCAGGTCTCCTCACACTGCTGGTGGGTTCCATTTTTGTCATAGGGTGCTGTATTGCCTCCCATTGCTGCTGCCTCCACCGCCACACTGTGGCTCCACACTCTGGTTTTGGCCCCGTGACTGCCCAAATGAGTGAAGTGTGCGGTGATTCTAAGATCGACGGCACTCATCTGCATGTCATACTGACTGACAGTATTATTTTCTCTCTTCCCCAGCAGACTCCAAGGGCATTTAAATTAAAGGTACAGTGTTCTGCACTAATATAAAGGCTCTCTGAAGCCTAGAAACACCCTTTTATAAGTTAAATTCGCAGCGAATATATATTCGCCTCGAATCAAATTTATTCCTCGAATTCGCCGAATCAGCTGAATCGAATTTTTGAATACTTCGCTCATCTCTAAGTCTAACTAACGGGTGGAAGATTCAGGGGAAGAGCATACAACTTTTATCACATTGTGTATGTCTTTAAAGTGTTGTTAACCACTAGCCTATAGGGCACTTATACCCCCTTCCTGCCCAGGCCAATTTCCAGCTCTCAGCGCTGTCACACTTTGAATGACAATTGCGCGGTCATGCAACACTGTACCCATATGCAATTTTTATCATTTTTTTTTGACAGATAGAGCTTTATTTTGGTGGTACAGTTGCAAGAAAAAGTATGTGAACCCTTGGGATTACGTGGAGTTTTGCATGAATTGGGCATAAAATGTGCTCTGAACATCATCTAAGTCACAACAATAGAAGAACACAGTCTGCTGAACATAATACTACACAAACATTAGATGTTGCCATGGTTTAATTGCACATAACATGTAAACATTCACAGTGCAGGGAGGAAAAAGTATGTGAGGCCCTAACTTAATGACTTCTCCCAGAGCTAATTGGAGCCCAGGAGTGAGCCAACCTTGACTCCAATCAGTGTGATGATACTGGATATGTTGCTGACAGCTGTCCTTCCCTTAAAAAACACACACCTGTTTTGGGTTTACTGGTTTCAAGAAGCACTGTCTAATGTGAACCATGCCTCGCAGAAAAGAGCTCTCAGAAGACCTACGATCAAGAATTGTTGACTTGCATGAAGCTGGAAAGGGTTACAAAAGCATCTCCAAAAGCCTTGATGTTCATGTTTCCACGGTAAGACAGACTGTCTACAAATGGAGAAAGTTTAGCACTGTTGCTACTCTCCCTAGGCTTGGTCGTCCTGTAAAAATGACTGCAAGAGCACAGCGCAGAATGCTGCATGAGGTAAAGAAGAATCCCAGAGTGTCAGCTAAAGACCTACAGAAATCTCTGGCACATGCTAACATTTTTGTTGACACAGCTACAATAAGGAAAACATTAAACAAGAATGGAGTACATGGGAGGACACCACGGAGGAAGCCATTGCTGTCCAAAAAGAATATTGCAGCACATTTGAAGTTTGCAAAAGAGCACCTGGATGTTCCACAGCACTGCTGGCAAAATATACTGTGGACAGATGAAACCAAGATTGAGTTGTTTGGGAAGAACACACAACACTATGTGTGGAGAAAAAAAGGCACAGCACACCAACATCAAAATCTCACCCCCACTGTAAAACATGGCGGAGGGAGCATCATGGTTTGGGGCTGCTTTGCTGCCTCAGGGCCTGGACGGATTGTTGTCATTGATGAGAAAATGAGTTCCAGAGTTTATCAAGGCATTTGCAGGAAAACGTACGACCATCTGTCCGCCAACTGAAGCTCCGCAGAGGATGAGTGATGCAACAGGACAATGACCCAAAGCATACAAGTAATTCAACAAAACAATGGCTGCAACAGCACAGAATACGCCATCTGGAGTGGCCCAATTAGAGTCCTGACCTAAACCAGATTGAAATGCTGTGGCATGACCTTAAGAGAGCGATTCACACCAGACATCCCAAGAATATTGCTACACTGAAACAGTTTTGTGAAGAGGAGTGATCCAAAATTACTCCAGATCGTTGTGCAGGTCTGATCTGCAACTACAGGAAACGTTTGGTTGAGGTTATTGCTGCCAAAGGAGGGTCAACCACTTATTAAGTCCAAAGGTCCACATACTTTTTCCTCCCTGCACTGTGAATGTTTACGTGTTATATGCAATTAAACCATGGCAACATCTAATAGTTGTTGTAGTATTATGTTCAGCAGACTGTGTTCTTCTTATTGTTGTGACTTAGATGACGTTCAGAGCACATTTTATGCTCAATTCATGCAAAACTCCACGTAATCCCAAGGGATTCACATACTTTTTCTTGCAACTGTATTTAATCACCTCTGGGTTTTTTATTTTTTCTTAAACCAAAAAACACTGAAAATATTGAAAAAAAAATGTTTTTTCTTAGTTTTTGTTATAAAATTTTGTAAGTGATTTTTCTCCTTCACTGATATACGCTAATGAGGCTGCAGTGGTGAGCACTGATAAGATGCACTGATGGACACTGATAGGTGGCACTGGGCACTGACTAGCACTGATAGGCGGCACTGACTGGCACTGATAGGCGGCACTGATGCGCGCTAATAGGCGGCACTGATTGGCAGCACGGATTGGCATTGATGGGTGGCACTGAAGGGCAGCTCAGATGGCACTGATATGTGGCATTGATGTGGCACTGATGGGCACTGGCACGTGGCACTGTTCAGCACTGACAGCTGGCACTGATGGACACTGACAGGTGGCACTTCTGGGGCCACACTGATCATCAGGGCACACTGATCATCAGTGCCCTGATGATCAGTGTACATGTCCCCTCCGCGGAATGCCGATTACCGGCTCTCCTCTCCTCTCGAGCTGTCAGCGTGACAGCTTGAGATGAGAGAAATGCCGATAACCGGCATTTCCGTGTTTACATGTGATCAGCTGTGATTGGACACAGCTGATCACATGACCGAGCCGACATCTTCGGCTCTTTCCATGGATAGGTGATCCGCTGTGTCCGAGGGACACAGTGCACCGGCAATCACTGCGCTGCGCGGTGAGAATGGAAGGACGTCAAAAGACGGCCTATCAGAACGAGAGAACCACCTTGCGCCCGTCATTGGACTATATGGCGGACGGGAGGTGGTTAAACCCACACATGAAAAAACCTTATTGTTCTCCAGACCTCAACGCTTAATAGTTTTGTTGTGTGGTTTTGGTTTTAAGCCTCCCCAGACCATCACTGACCCACCACCAAAACGGTCATGCTAAACAATGTTACAGGCAGCATAATGTTCTCCACGGCTTCTCCAGACCTTTTCATGTCTGTCACATGCTCAGGGTGAACCTGCTCTCATCTGTGAAAAGCACAGGGCGCCAGATGCAGTCCTGCCAATTCTGATGTTCAATGGCAAATGCCAATTGAGCTCTATGGGTCCATGCAGTGAGCACAGGGCCCACTAGAGGATGTTGGGCCCTCAGGCCAGCCTCATGAAGTTTGTTTCTGATTATTTGGTCAGAAACATTCACACCAGTGGCCTGCTGGAGGTGATTTTGTAGGGGTCTGGCAGTGCTCATCCTGTTTCTCCTTGCACAAAGGAGCAGATACCGGTCCTGCTGATGGGTTAGGGATCTTCTACAGCCCTGTCCAGCACTCCTAGAGTAACTGCCTGTCTCCTGGAATCTCCTCCATTCTCTTGATCCTGTGCTGGAAGACAAAGCAAACATTCTGGCAATGGCATGTATTGGTGTGCCATCCTGGAAGAGTTAGACTGCCTGTGCAACCTCTGCAGGGTCCAGGTATTGCCTAAAGCTACCAGTAGTGACACTGAACCGAGCCAAATGCAAAACTAGTGAAAAACAATCAGAAAAGATGAGTAAGGAAAAAAATGTCAGTGGCCTCCACCATTCCTGTTTTGGAGGTCATCTCTCACAGAGCACACATCTGGGAGGCCGACAATAGGTATATCACTTGGACACAGTGGATCACATTACCACTGTGTCTAGGATATTGCATGGTGTTTTACCATATGATTTCTGTGTCCCATAACAATAATCACATAGTAAACACTATAAAGGGAAATTAAAGATTGCTTCTCTCTGCTCTCAGTGTGAGAGCAGAGAGAAGCGATCGTGCAGCCTGTGAGTGTACAGCAACTGGTCAGGATGCTTGTATGTGCACAAACTGCAGTGTCAGCCAGCCACAGTATACTCGATCACTTCCCCATTGTCCCTGATCACTTCCCCATTGTCCCTGATCACTTCCCCAATGTAGGGACAATAAACAATGCAGCCAGTCCCTGTCACCTGTTCCAGTGTGCACAAAAACACCAGCATACACCATACCAGTGTCCTGATCACCGCTATACCACAAACTAACACCCTGATCACCGCCATACCTCATATCAAACACCCTGATCACCGCCATATGCCATACCAGTACCCTGATCACCGCCACACCCCATACCTGCATCCTGATCACAGCCATATCAGCATCCTGATCACCACCGTACAAGCATCCTGATCACTGCCATACACGATGCCAACATTCTGATCACCTCCATACCAGCATCCTGATCACCTCCATACCAGCATCCTGATCACTGCCATACCCCATACAAGCATCCTGATCACTGCCATACACCATAGCAGCATTCTGCTCACCGTCATGCCCCATACCAGCATCCTGATCCCCCCCCCCATATGCCATACCAGTGTCCAGATCACCGCCACACACCATACCAGCATCCTCATCGCCACCATACCCCCTACCAGCGTTCTGATCACCACCATACTCCATTCCAGCATTCTGATCACCACTAGATAATTTTATGTGGGTACAGTTTTGCATGACTGAGTAATTGCCACTCAAAGTGTGATAGTGCTGAAAGCAGAAAATTGGCCTGGACTGGAAGGGGATGAAAGTGTCCGGACTTGATGTGGTTAAAATGTCATTGTATACATTCTCTTTTAGAAACACAAAAAATATGACAGTATTTTTTGGTCTCTTTGTAGAATGGTGTTCAGCAGGAAAGCAGTAAAGGAGTTTATAGGAAGTAAATGTCGGTGTTACAGCAATGATGCTCCAGATGATATGGTGCTGGGGATGTGTGCCAGTGGCCTAGGAATTCCTGTCACTCACAGTCCGCTCTTTCATCAGGTAAGATGACACATGACGACACTTATTACTGTTAAATCCCCTGTATGTTTCCATGCTCCATTCTTAGCAAACTTGTTCTGTTAAGGAACAAGCAGCCCTTGATTTAGTTTCCAATGGTTTTTATTAAATAGTTTTTTTACAACAATAATGGGAGTACCAGTAAATAGTGTACCATCAGACATATGAACATAAGACACTAGAAACAACAAATTGTACCATGAACAACTTTAGGTTTAAGAAAAAACGCTTAGTACCACTAAGACGAGAGCAGATGATTTTCGCCTTGTCAATATATAAAACAAAACAATACAAAATAGAGGAAAAGAAAAGAGAAAGCAAAGAAAAAAATAGAAGAGAGGGTCAGCATAGAAGTCATTAAGGAACAGATATATATTGAATCCACAGGTTCCATACACTATCAAATTTCTTCGAAGTATTTTGCAGGATACATTTGAGCTTGTCATTGGCCATAATCAAGTTTAGTTTCTTTTTAACATAATTAGGTAAATAGCAGATTGCTTCCAATGTCTATCTATGGTGATTCTCGCTTCCAGAAACATGTAAGAGATCAGCTTACGGGATTTCTTGGGAACATTATCAGGGAATTTATGAAAGAGCGCTATCTCCGGGGATCTGCAAATATTTACTCCGGTCACCGAGTTTACCAAGTTAAACATGCGAATCTAAAATCTAATTGCAAGTGAACACTGCCACCAGACGTGATACATAGATCCCACCCTGCCATAGCGCCAAAAACACATCGCAGAAGCAGATGGATGCATCCTCGCAATCCGAGTGAGAAACAAGTACCAGCGCAACAAAGTTTTATAATTTGCTTCAGTTAGGTAGTATTGATAGAAATTTTCGAAAGTGCAAAAGCAATACCTTGCCAATCTGATAAATCATAATTGACAGCTAGATCACTTTCCTAGTGCTCCATATAAGGAAGTTTACAAAGTGGATCAGTGAGGAGAGCATATACTATGGAGATACGGCCCTTTGGAGAAGCCCTATTCCGGCAAGAACGTTTAAAGGCGGTAAGCAAAGGCAATGCATCCAATAAAGCAGTCATCGAGCGGAGAAATGAGACAATCTGCTTATATCTGAAAATTTCAGAGGCAGGCATATGCAATTTTTCTTTAAATATTATATAGAATATATGCAAGAACCGTTAAGATAGTCTCCTATCTGCAACAAGCCTTTATTTTATTTATATATATATATATATATATATACTTTTATTCACCATTTAAAAGGGGCCGGCTTCAAGCCAGGCATAAATTTAGGATTACAAAAAACCGGAGCTACAGGTGTATGTGGAGATACCAATGATTTACGATGGCGAACCCTATTCCAAACTGTCAAAGAAAACGACAGAGTAGGGCAGAGTATAGGAGGGCATAAGCGATTAGGAAGCCAAAGCAACGCCCCAACAGCAAGAGGGTGACAGGAGAGAGCTTCAATAGAGACCCAAAGGGAATATTTCCCCAGTTGTGGTGTAAGCCAATTGGGCAATTTGTGCAGCCTGGAAATACGCGTGGAGATTAAGGAGGCCAATATCCCCCCCCCCCCCCCCCGAAGGTCTGGGAGCATACAGCGCCTTCTGATTCATCTGAGGCTGTTTGTTATTCCAAATAAAACAAAGGACTGCAGCTTGTAAATGCCGTAATTCACGTCTCAATCTGGGTAAAAAACATCATTTTTATAGAATTGACTCTGCCAAACCATGATAAAGAATAGTCCTCCCAACGGCTAAGATCATCTTTGAGTATTTTAAAGAAGAGAGGGTAGTTTACCTGATATTTATTTAATTCAGGTACTTATATAGCCGCATCCATTTACGCAGCGCTTTACATATATATTGTACATTCACATCAGTCCCTAACCCTCAAGGAGCTTACAATCTAAGGTCCCTAACGCACATTCATACACATACTAGGGACAATTTAGACAGGATCCAATGAACCTACCAGCATGTCTTTGGAGTGTGGGAGAAAACCGGAGTACCCGGAGGAGACCCACACAGGCACAGGGAAAACATGCAAACTCCAGGCAGGACGTGCCGTGGCTGGGATTTGAACCACCAACCCTAGAACTGCCAGGCGGTAGTGCTAACCATTTAGCCACTGTGCTGCCCAGAAATGGCATCTCGATTGAAGCGGTAAGATGTATCCCTAAATAGTGTAATGACTTATTTGCCCATTAAATCATATGAAGCACGAAGTTGTTGTTCCTGAAGCATGGATGAGGAAACATTAAGGGCTGTTGTTTCCTGGGAGTTAAGAGCCCAGAAAGAGCGGAAAATTGACTTAATAGTGACAATAAATTAGGGATAGTTATCATAGGGGAAGTAATATACATAAGAACATCAATGGTGAATAGGGCACATTTATGTTTTGTTGTCCGCAATGAACGCCATGAATTTGGGGATGAGAGCGAATGGCCATAGCCAGAGGCTCAATTGCCAGCGCAAATAGGAGTGGGGACAACAGACAGCCCTGTCTAGTACCTCTTTGGATCGGAAACACAGATTTGTAGCCTTTAATGGAGACCTGAGCTGAGGGATTATCATATAAGGAGCACAGCCAAACCAAAAACGACGGGCCAAATCCAAAGGCCTTCAAGGTAGTAAACACATATTCCCACCTCAGATTATCAAAAGCCTTCTGGAGGTCCAGAGAAAGAAGCAAGAGTGCCCAAGAAAGGGGAGCATCCCAATTAGAGCGGCAGCCCTTGATTTAAATCAGACTTTGAGAACAGGTCAAATGTGTTTTGCTAAAAATGATCCCCAACCATGTCCATATTATGGTAATAAAGATCCCTGGTTATGTCTGCCATTGTGTACTTCTGCATAAAAAAAGAAAATCCTACTTTTA